AAACTCCAAAAACCTGAGAATTTCATACTTGAATTTGGAAATGCCATTTGTTTTCATCCTTGCTTTGTCTTTTATCACCAAATGACCAAATCAATTCCTTTTAAAACCCAGTGCATTCTCTTGATCTATGCTAAAAAAAATTCACAATTTGGCTCCATTGTTAATTTAATTTGCAGGTATAACCTTTTATTATTTTGCTTTACAAAACCATGAAGAACTTCTCATTCATTTTACTACTGGGGCTCACCATTCTCCTCCGATCCTCGACGAGCACATTTACTTCTTCAGATGACGAACTATTGTACGATTATTCCGCAAGCACCGAGGTAATTAGATAGTTAAATGAAATGAACAACATGAATTGCACAAAAATGTACATATATATATTTTTTTAGACTTTTGTGAAGAAATTTCTCCATAATGTGTTTATCAGTGCAAATCAGTTCCTGAAGAACCACTCTACAATGGTGGTATGATAAAAAATGGAGCAGTCGATCAAATCCCGATAAACTCCTCTGTTTTTTCCCTGAATAACCTCAAGGCCAACACAATCTACACATTTTCTAGTTAAGCTCGCCGCGTAAATAATGATATAGATATTATGAATTCCATTCCCGAATAATAATACGTGAATTTTAAATTTTTGGTGATGATCGACAGGTTGGGTTAAGATAACAGGCCAAGAATCGGCTGTGATACAGACGAGCTTGGTAAGTGGCAATTTGACTTTGGTCAACTGCACGGGAACCGTTCTTGCTAGGTCCGGGTGTTGGACGTTCCTCAAGGGCGGTTTTTCTCTCGACTCCACTAGAGACCAAGCTCGTATTTACTTTAAGGTACTTCAAAAATAAAAAATACACACAATCGTGCAAATTTATACGCATTTTTTTGTTTCGACTCGTGCAGAATGAAGACGGGCTACAGATGAATGTGTCGGTTTCTAGTGCTTCGGTTCAGCCATTCACTATACAACAATGGGAAAAGAACCAACAGAACATTATAGAAAAAGTATGTAAATACAAATAGTCAAATATTATAAATTTCATAATGTTATGAAGAAAAAGAGTCAAATCTCGGCTCGAGCTCAAGTTTTGACTGAACTCGAGATGAGCTCGAGCAGGTTATCGAGTCTATCTCGAGCATAAGTTTTGGAAAGTTGAGCCGCTCGCGAGCGACTCTAGATATGTAGTGAATTACTAAAATACCTCTTATATATAAATATCACAATATTTATATATGTACTTAATGGTAATTTTACTTGAAATTTGAGTCGAACTTGAGCCGAGTTCGAGCAATCTTTCGAGCATTTTGATTTCAATCGATCTGGAGCAGAGCTCGAGCGATTGTCTTCTTTTGTCGAATCGATCTCGAGCATCATAAATCGAGCTCGAGCATATTAAAAAAAATATATAATCTTGCTCGATAAGACCATTGCTCGCCTTGTTTCCAGCCCTAGTCACAAGTTAACACTTTAATGCAGGAAAGAAAACGGGAGATGACTTTACATGTATTGGGTGTCGATGGAAAGAGATTGTCCGGCGCCAAAGTAATCATAAAGCAAGTCGCTCGGGACTTCCCGTTTGGGACAGCCATTTCCGAGTTAATTCTTCGAAATCGAGCCTATCAGGTAAGATCAATCAAAATTCAAATGAAAGCCCAATGCAGCCCAATCCAAACCATATAATAATACATCTCGATTAACGATGGCTTATTTTTTCGAGCAAAAAAAAAATAACAGAAATGGTTCCTCGAGCGGTTCAATGCAGCCGTGTTCGAAAACGAGCTGAAATGGAACTTTACGGAGCCCAAGCAGGGGAAAGTCAACTACACGGTACCGGAAAAAATGCTCGATTTTCTCCGAACAAATCAAGTCATGGCCCGGGCCCACAACGTGTTATGGGAGTCCCCAAACATGGTTCCCCCATGGATAAAAAATCTAACGGGCCCCGACCTGAAAAAAGCCGTCAAATCGAGAATACAAAGCGTGATGTTGAAATACAAAGACGAGTTCGTGGACTGGGACGTAGACAACGAGATGCTGCCTTGGGATTTCTACGGGCCGAGGCTCGGCCCAAATGCCAGCCTGGATTTCTTCATGTTGGGCCAGGCGGCGGTCGGCCCGCGGGCCCACCTGTTCATGAACGAGTACAACGTGGTGGAACACTGCGACCCGAAATGCTCGGTCGACCGATACTTGGAGAGGCTGAAAGGTCTCGTGGATGGTGGGGTCCGCAGGCTCGGAATCGGGCTTCAGGGCCACTTTTATGTACCAAATCGGGCCCTTATTCGGGCCACGATCGACAAGCTGGCCACTCTCGGGCTCCCGATTTGGATGACTGAGGTGGATATTAGCAAACGCCTTGATCCTCAATCACAGGTCAGTATTAAAAAAAAAAACTGCACAATAGCCCTGATCGGGCCCTGAGGCCGATCATTTTCGGGCCCAACTCATGACCAAAACTGGTTTCAATTTTTTTATTTTTTTTTCAGGCAAAATATTTGGAAGTGGTATTAAGAGAAGGTTTTTCACACCCATCGATAAACGGGATAATGCTTTGGATGGCACTGAACGCGAACGGAGAAGGATGCTACCGAATGTGCCTAACAGACTACGATTTCAACAATTTCCCGAGTGGCGACACGGTGGACAAGCTGCTCGAAGAATGGAAAACCGAGAAAATCGAGGGAAAAACGAACAAGCGTGGCAACTTTAACTTCTCGGGTTTTCTTGGGGATTATGAGCTGACCGTTACATACAAAAACAGGACAGCTCGTACGAGGCTGTCTTTAGGCCGTGGTGTTGAGACCAAACACTTGAATGTTTATCTGTAAGCACATTACACATATGTATGTACGTATATATAGCTGATCTGCCTTACTAGAGGATGATTTATATAAAAGCATGTGCTTGCAATTAAAATATTTACCATATGTCAAAATTTGGGCTTTCTGGCTTTGGTTAGGCTCAAAATGCACCTCATGATCTAGGAAAAAAAGGCAAAAATTGAACAAAACTATCATCACATGTATACACAATTCAAAAAAAATAAAAACACGAACCAAACAAGAAAAGCTAGAAAAACAAAGCAAAAGAGCCACTGCCAAAACAATATAAAAATGCACATGAGGCCAAAAATCTCTATTAATCCTATAATAACAAAAGGCCAAAATTTGTTCTTTCCAAGGTAGCCTAGAAATGAAACAAACCCTACTAAAATCTTGAATAATTCTAATAAAATGCTGATAAAATAATAATATTAATAATAGCAACTCCAGTTGAGACAGCATAATGAAAAGTTGAGGTGCAGTGAACCCTAGTGGAGTCTCCCATAGCCAAACCAGCTAACCAAGATCCATCTGCCACCATTGCTTGAGATCCTGACCCGGATGCTGGATCTTGGTCCGACCCGGTAAAGCCAAATCCGGGTCCTGACCCGGATCCACCCATGCTTGGGTTTGATGAGCCTGGTAGAAACCCATCATTACCAGTGGTCCCAGGTGGTGACGTCACTGTTGTTGGAGTTGGATCTCTTGTGGATTTTTGGCTGCAAAAGAGTATTATTGCTCAAGATTAGTGGCAATTTTTACTATTTACTCAGCTTTTTTTCTAAAGTCAAACTGGAAATCTTTTGCAAGATACTTTGGTTGATGTAATTAATGTTTTTTGTAAGGTGATGAAATAAGAAAATGAGTACTTTAAGCACATCTCTAGTGTACTCCCTTTTATTAATTTTTTCTATATATGTATCCAAACCTTAGTATACAAAACTCTATTTATGAATTAAAAATCCCCACCCGAAAGGCTTATAAGTTATAACTACACAGTCTACATTCATTCATCCTAATTCCTTAAGTTTAGGTGATTTTATATTAAAACCCAAAAAAATAAATAAATAAAGGTGTCAATCAGTAGGGGGCTGCTTTAACAGAACCCATCTCACATCAGAAATTA